CAGCAAACCATTTTTGAAAATCCAAAAGTCTTCCCCTAATATTTCTGGCATGAGGGGAATAGGGCTTAAAAAAAAATCAGCATGTCTCACTAGGTGCTAGGTTATAAGAAGCAGGTTTGTTTCTGTTTTAGAGTTTAAAAAAGACTATTGAGCAAGTTTAAATGGATTATATCATATATAAAAAGAGGACAAAACAAAGAATTCAGTGTTGAAGCCCTGACTGCTGTATACATTAAAAGGTAGATGTTCTCCAAAATTCTTTTCTATGAAACATGCTTTTCACTTTTTACCGTTATCTGTGTCAGAAGCTGAATGGGAACCCACCGTTAGAATATTCAAGCTGTTAACAGCCCCCTCATCATGAAGCAATCACTTCATGAAAGCTGGCCTACATTTTACATGTAACAAACATAACACCACATTGTTTATTTTGCTGATCATATGAAAAGTAAGTGGCCACTAGAGCATTTTAATATTTGAGCATTCTAGAGGCTGATAGTGTGTTCTGAATAGCTTATGATACCTTTGAGGTTGTGATTACTGTTCTTTAGAATAAGTTAAGGAATTAAATTCATACACATTTCAGGGGAAAGGGAGAGAGTTGTTTACAAAGTATTTTTGTTATCCAAATTTAAAAATGAGATTATGTTTAAAAGTCAGGTCACCACAGCACTGTGCAAGGTACAGGCAAATTCAAATTATAAGTTAATTATGAACTTTCCCCACTTCTACATAATGGTTTGAATGTTTGCTTTAACCTAATTTTATAATGGGTCAGGCTCAATTACACAAATTTTCGCTTGGACAGATGGGAGGCTTTGTGTGCCTAATGTATTACAGAAGCAGGACCATAATTTGGGTCTTTCTATCAACGTGCTCTCCTCACCTCTCCCTCTGGTTCCAGAATATTTTTCAAAGAGAGACAAGAGCTATATGCTAGCTCCTTGACTAACATTTGGAAGCTTAGCTCATTTGCTTTGCACTCCAGACTACTCACATTTGGTAGCTCATGGTAATTAAAAAGTAGCTCAAACTCACTTTGGAATCTTATTAAAAAAATAATACCATAAAAGTTTTAATCAGATTTCAGTTTTTGTTATTTTTAACAAAACTAGAAGGAGCTTTTTATCTCAAAGGATATACAAGAAGCTTTATTACTCAATCAGATATTTTGTATTCTTCCATCATGCTGAATAAAAAAGAAACTCTTCTCAATTCTTACATGAGAACAGAGTCAAAACGTACATATACCTTCTGGTTGTACTGTAACTATTTTCTATTCAGCGTTTCTCTGTCTTGATACCAATGTAATCTTCTGATTCCAAATGATTATGTGAAACTTGGAAATGAGCAAAAAAAAGTGTTTCTAATTTTAAAATTAAGTAAAAGCAGATGCTGGAATCCCCATTAAACTCTTCCAGCTGCTACTGAACCACTGGCAACCTGAATCTATTTCATTTGGATACCACTAACGGTAAAGAGGAAAATATGATGGCCAAAACTGCACACCCAAGCTGAATGAGTGAACAGAAAAAACAAAAGATAGCCGATGACAACAAATGCATTCTAATAAGGTTCTCTGACCAATGACTGATAATCCTTCCTGTGGTTAATGGCTAAAATGGGATATTGATTATTGAGTCTTCAATTCCTAAACAGATAACCAGTCATCAGAATCAGCTGCATGCCAGTTATTTATTGTTAACGTTATTATTAATTTTGGTTTATCCTTCTTAACATTGTCTTCTTGCTACAATGCTTTATGAAGCAGACAGGTTTATGTGCACTGACTGACTACCTCAGCGTACTGTTAATATTGATTAAAGTAAGATATCATATAAATTAATATTTAGCAAGGTCATTATGATGGATTGATATGACATACAGGTCCTCAAGCCTGATGTCGTATCACTCCTGAAGAGACAGCCTGTAAAAAAAGTCTTACAGGTGGCACTGAATTGACAGCAGTATATAATATAAAAGCGCTTTGTCATTCACATAATGTCTTGGGTAATGAAATGAATTCACTTTCTGGTTTCCTCTAGTTTGCAGTGCCAAAGAACACTGTGTTATCAGCACAGATGGAGCATGCATGGTTCTGGAGAAGAGCCTGGTGCAAACTGCAAACAAGCTTCTCTGCATACCAATGAATCCCTGAGAATCAGACCCTTGCTGTCAAGTGACAGGTTTGCAAGCTCTATAAAAATGAACTAATCCCAGTGGTCTTGTCTGACTGCATGCACTTCCAGTGCTCAGGACAAGAATTTGTAAATGTTGCACATCATGCAGTCATGGCTACTGCTTTGATGAGAGATTCTAAGCTGGTGAAAGATTCCCATCAGGTGCCAATACTTTTCTGGGGGGCAGTAGAGTGGCAAAAGATGTAGCTAAAGAAGCACCAGGTTCCTCAGAAGGAAATATACATTATACACACACACCCCTTCCCGAACTTGTGTAACTGAAACTGTTTGAAGCATGTTTACACTAGTAAAACTGCAACTGTACTAGAGTTTATATTCACATTTGTGAATATATATTATACAGACACACACAGAGTCAGGTTTGATTTTTACACACACACACACACACACACACACACACA